TATATATATATAAAGAGTAGATGGAACCACGCTTAATGAGCGTAGAGAGTTCACGCGTTGGTCGCACATTTTCTTTCTAAATAGAAATAAACCAACTTTAAAGTTATGGAATTCACAACTTGGACTGTGATTTTAAAATACTAAAATTATAAACTGGAAAAAATCATTAAAAACTTACGAATGGGTCTCAGGACCTCTAGCAGAAGTACATTTTAAAAATGGTCTGTTACTCAATTTAATCTTATTTTTAAAAAGTCATGCATTGCTTATTAAAACGTGATTCAATAGGTTTATTTGATTTGACATGTTTAATTAACTTCAAAATAATCCCTTAATTTAAAATTAAAATTTGAATTTTACGCCTTTAATAACAATATTAATATTACATTATAAGTGTACATCAAATAATTATTACAGGCCGAGATACTTAAGGTGGCTACGGTTCGATAGCACTTATGTGGCAATTACTATATTTTCTACTAGTTAAGTAATTGTTGAATAAAAATATGTTCTCCATACAACGTGGACAGTGAGTTGTAAGAATCGTAATAAGAGAATTTTTTTACTAATTTAACAGAAATAAAAATAGAGTTACGTAAGATTCTATGGTCTTGGGGTGCGCACAAAGTAAATAGTCGAGGAACTAGTATCAACTTCTTTATTTATTTAAAACAAGAGAAGAGAGTGTCACGTCAGTAAGACCTTCGTCCTTGCCGGTTCTAACCTGAGCCGGAGCTGCCGTCAGCATCCTATCTACTTATCCCTCTGCTCTATTCCACTACGAATGTCTTCAGTAGGCCCAAGGAAGAGGGGGCTATGATACCGTAAGTGAGACGTCCGAGGCCGCGACGCCAACGTCCTCGAAGGCAACTTCCTTCATAATTTGTATGTTTGTGATAGAATAGCGTTGGTGTAATATTGTTTGAATTGTATATTACTTCCAGTTTAAGGAAAAAGGATGGTTTCAAGCGCTGTGTTTCTGTTCCTCTTACTGCTTTATTTCGTTGTATCTTATGTGTATACATGTTTGTTCATGTTAGCGCACTTCTTTCATACAAAATTAGTTTGTTTAAAAATTCTCTTATTAACTTATGGTACATAATTGCTTACATATATTTTTCTTATTTTTATTTAATTATGAGCTATACAATAGATCGTAATGACACATTGTTTTTGCATTAAATAATAATTATTNTTTTTTTTTTTTTTTTTTTTTTTTTTTTTTTTTTTTTTTTTTTTTGTTTTTGTTTATTTCGTGTTCAAGGATGTCTAGGGTAAAGGGCTTACTGATTTAACTTAGTTATTATATTATCACTAGTGTATGTTTTTTGTTACTCTTACTATAAATTTTATCATTGCTCCCTTCCTTTCATTCTTATATGTCATGCATGGAGAGGGAATTATGATAGAGCCTTATGGATTCGATAATCTGACGGCGCTTGTGCCTATTCACCGGGTTATTGTTTTTTTACTTTCTTCTCTCTCTTTTCACTAGCTGGTATTGCTGATTTTCGTCGATTCGTATGCTTAATTTTGCGTGCCGTAGCCTTTATGTTTGCCCGCGTAGATGACTACTTAACAACCTTTTTTATCTTTTCGTTGTTTTTTTTTGGTTTTTTGGTTTTTTTTTTGTTTTTTTTTGCTGCATTATCTTGGTGGTTTGCCACCACCGTAACTTCCCCAAGTCTTTGGTGTGTCCCACGCCCTGAAGTGCTGGGCAGGTTTATTTTAGCAGAAATTGTTGGTGTTGTTTTCAGCAACATTGCTGGTTATTTCTCTAACGTCACCATAGCGTCCGGGTAATCCGTAACGTTGATTTTTTTTTTGTAAATTTCAATGCGTTCTTTGTTTTGTATTCTCCCAGATACTAGCGTCAGCTCAGAAAGTTCACTGTGCAGTCCGTGAGCCTTCGTCTTGGGTTACGAGAATTGCTTTCGATTGTTTTATGTCCGTACCGGAAGTATCTTTGTAGAATTACTGAGGGTAGCAGGGTGTTTTTAGGTTATCTTCAAGGAAGAAAGGGGTGGTCTTTAAATGCAGCAGATGTGATTGCTTTAGCAGATCATCGTGTCCAGCAATAACGACAATAAGTTTGCGTTACCTAAAATCTGATCAACATTCTTTTCGGACTTTGTTCTGTCTTTTGATTTACTATTTTTTTTCGTCCATTCAACCCTGCATGTTTCATGCTTACAGCCTAATTGTTGTCGTGTATATACGTGTTATATAATTTTAAAAGACTGTAGCACCCCACTATAATTCCCCACTTTAACCAGTGTGCATATATGTATTTACTTTTTTCTCCAATCCTACCGTTATTATTTATTTACCTGCTTCCGTCAATGTATATTTTTTTTCGCAGCACGTCCGTTGGGCCACGAAAATTTGAGAAAAGAAAAAAAAAATTTTGTACGCTTTTTAACAGTATTGTTTTTTTAAAAAAGGGTGGGTTAATTGCCTGAATCTCTGTTTGTTACGCCGTTATCAGTTATTTTATTTAATTTTTTTTCGTATAATTTGTTGTTAACTCGCAGCTCATCCGAGGGCCGCAATCTAATGGAAAATGACGCTTTTTCCGCCTTCTAACCTCAAAATAGCACCTTCGCCGCTTTATTTTGGGTTCTCAGGCGAAAAAATAGTATACGAAACTCGTTCGAAAAGGCTTCTTTACGAACCTCGTTACGGCCCTCGCCGTCGGCTCGTGCCGTACACCTCTCGTTTCGTAAATCGAAGCCTTTACAAACTCGTACGCAATATGGTATTCCCTATATATTTATACACGTATGTTTTATGTGTATCCTGTATTCCTATGTAATACTATACTGGTATACTAGTTTTATTATTCGTATATTCTGTATTCCTTCTGTCATTGTCGTCGTCGTTGTCGTCGTCGTCGTTGTCGTGTCCGCCTCTGTTCTTGGAGCGAAGTTTGTTTCTGTGCTCCCTGAGGGCTTCACTGACCTACGTTCTTCTTCTTCCACGTTTTGAGCCGTTGTACTGATCCAAGTTTGTGGCATGTCAGACTTAGCTATCATTATTTCTTTTGAAGGGCTCGTTGTTGGCGGCGTAATTGAAAACTTTAGCTTTTGTCTGTTTAATGAAATAAATTTTCTCTTTCTTTCCTCGATTAGTACAACTGCAGGTGTGCTCGTCGTTTTTACTTCCCTTCGAAACCCTGGTTCTTTTATAATATAACATAATTTTCTATCTGTCATTCCTTGGAAAATAAGATTATCCCTTGCAGTAGCCATCGGACTCGCAATTTTTCCTGGCCACTTTTTTGCTTCGTCATCTGATGTATCCAAACCTATTCATTACATTTTTCTGTCACGCTTATATTAATTCTGTCTCTTACAGAATTATTTTTTTCTTTGCACCCTCTTATTACCATTATTAGTACCGTCGGTGAGCGGCTTATTCGATGTATACTCGTACTGTGGTGGCTCTCCTTCACTCTCTTCTTCCTTTGATCTCTCTCGTGCTTGATCGGTTCTATCTCAATACTTTGACGCCACTGCCTTCGAAAACACCTTTTTCAGAGGTCTCAGTATCCCCTGCTACCTCGTCTGCTTCCGTGGTCTCCTTCATTTCTTCATTACCTTTCACTTTCTTCGCCTCTTCGGCCGCCAAGCTTGCTTGTATCAGCTGCCGGCCCCAACTATCAAGTCCTGTTCCGTGATTTCCTGATTAACTATTCATTATTACGGGTATTCCGCAATTTGCAACAACGATATCCTTTGACGGGCTCTCATAGTGTTCCATAATAGAGAACGGTACTTGCTTTCTTGTAAGTGTATCTAACTGACGCTTATGAGTTTTCTGTCCCTTTAGTACGGCCCATTTTTCTCAATCACTGGTGTGCTTGTTGAATTTATCCCCTGTTGCATTCAATCCTTCCTTCGTAAGTAGGCTAATCTATCGTTTACCAGCCCCTGTAAAATGATTTTTTCTCCTGTTTGTCTGCCAGCTAATACAGTTCTTGGCGTGGCCGCTCAGTGTTTATTTTTCCTCTCCTATTACTCGATTTTGAGAGAGTGCATTAGGTGCTTTGTTTGAAATGCCTGGTCGATATACTACATTGAACTCGTAGCCTTGTTGTTCCACTTTTAGCCTGTTAAATCTCATGTAAAGCTGTTTTGACGTACGATAATGTTATAGTGGTTCATGATCTGTAACCACTGTAAATTTT